AAAAGCGCTCCTCCTGCCGCGCACCCCCAAGGATCCTCTTGTGCACCCCCCGGGGACCGCGCACCCCATTTTGGAGACCACTGTTCTAACCTACCATTGGTTCAGGACTAAGTGTGATAATCTAAGGGTATGTCTATACTGCCCATGTTACAGCGTGGCAGCGCTGTGACATGGGCTGTGTAGACATGCTTTTATCGCTGGGGTGAGAGCTCTCCCGGCGATGATAAAAAAAACAAACAATAAACCCCCGCCCCCCAAAAACCACCCTGAACGAGGGATGGTAGCTTTATCGCTGGGAGTGCCGTCTATACTGGCGCTTTTCAGCGCTAAAACTTTTGTCACTCAGGGGTGTGTTTTTTTCACACCCCTGAACGACTAAAGTTTTAGTGCTGAAAGAGGCAGTGTAGACACAGCCTAATACACTTCGTTGCCATAATGACAGATATAACTCAAGTTGCTTTGCCATTTGTCACTAACATGACCATCCCAAATAAATGATAACATGTTATAGCAGTATATAGATACACCCTACCTGTTGCATTACAAGTTTCTGCATTAAAAGGTAGTACTTTAACATATTTATCATTAGAACCAGTAGCCAACAACTGTCCACAAGGACTCCATGCCACACAGTAGATTGACCCTTTGTGATGTTTGTTCCTTTTGAAACGAATATCTGGTTGTTTAGGAGCGTTATAAGCACTGGAAAAAAAAAAGAGATAAGTATTTCTTTTATATGTAAATACAGAATATGTAATCTAAAATGTAAGTCAATTGTATTATTTAATGTAATAAAAAATCCAAAGTAGGCAAGCAAGTTAATTTCTACTTATTTTTCAGTTTTCTAATGGTAGGCAATAAAAGTTAAACTAAATGTGAAAGTATAGTGTTTTGCTGCCACACAGGAACTATGTTCCCCAAACAAATTTTAGATTCCATGCATTATGCAAACATCTTCCATACCACACTTATCGTGGTCTGATTCCTTGCAAGCATAAGCAAGTGCTCGAAAGGGCAATGAAAATGGACAAGTGTGGGTGGCAATTTAAACTTTTGCTTTAAAAAAGTGTTAGTTTTAATGCTGGAAGGCAACTAGGGTAGAATATTAGGATAACAGAGACACCACAAAGAAAGCTCCTCCTTGTTCTCCAATATTTCACTACAGAAACATTCCAAGTGTGACCTGAAACAGATTTCTACAACACACACTAATTAAGTTATGCGTGTTCTTGATGGGGGGAAAAAATCCAGCAATCTTGAAACAAAATTCAGAAATGTCTGCCAGAGGTACTTGGTTTGACACAGATAACACTTAGCTATTATTAAAAAGGCATTGTCTTAAAAACAAAACAAAACTCAAAACCCAACAACAAAAAAAACCAAAATACCTTATTTTCAGAGTCCAAAACAAGTGAAAACCAGAGAGAAATATTTCTTTTTGTATCCAACACTTTATGCATGTGCTTGACTTCAATGGACTACTTTCGTACTTAAAGTTAAGCATTTATGTAAGTGTTTGCAGAGGCCTAGGAAGGAAGCAAGCCTTGGTTTTCTTAGGTCACCTCAAAGACCTACTCAGACCAACATACCACTCTACCTCTATGTATTGGACATTAAAAAGTAAGGAAGAGGAGCAATATGACACTAAGAACATTTCACCAATTAACAAGAAAGGAGCCTGAATGAGGCAGTCTGTGGAAAAAGCACAGCTAGTTTTGCTAGGGTTACCATATTTCAGCAAGCAAAAAAGAGGACGGGAGGAGCCCCGCCTTAGCCCCGCCCCAATCTGCCCTAGCCCCGCCCCTGCCCCTCCCACTTCCCCCCCTCAGAACCCCCAACCCTCCCCCCGCTCCTTGTCCCCTGACTGCCCCCTCCTGGGACCCCTGCCCCTAACTGCCCCCCAGGACTCCACCCCCTACCTAAGCCTCCCTGCCTCTTGTCCCCTGACTGCCCCCTCCTGAGACCCTCCCCCCATCCTAACTGGCCCCCTAGGACTCTACCCCCTACCTGTACCCTGACTGCCCCAACCCTTATCCACACCCCCACCCCCAGACAGACCCCTGGGACTCCCACGCCCCATCCAACCACTCTCCACCCCCTGACAGCCCCCCCCAGAACTCCCGACCCATCTAAACCCCTCTGCTCCCTGTCCCCTGACTGCTCCGATCCCTCTCCCCACCCCTGCCCCCTGACAGCCCCGCCCCCAGAACTCCCAAACATTTACAAATTCCCCCCGGACGCTATTTTTAGCTCAAAAAGCCGGACATGTCCGGGGGAATCCGGACGAATGGTAACCCTAGTTTTGCTCCTCTCTAATGCACTCTCTCAAAACTCATTCAATTATACATTATAGTCATAACCTTCCTGGCATTATTTCTTAACGTCCTAAATCAGCCTTTACTTACATCTGGCTATGGGGAAATTCCTAATTCCCTTTCTCCGATTATTTCTATGGGTTATTTAGACATGAGTAAATAACATGCTTGTAGGAAATTAGTGGGAAGCTACAAAGTATTTAAAATGCAATTCAGCATCGAGAATAAAAGCTTATTCTAATAAAGGCAAGAAGCTAACAGCGCAACAGAAACTAAGTATCTTTGACTGCTAATAGGCCATTTAAAAAATTTGCCACAGAAACTGGAAAATGAGGATGACTGAAGAATGATAAAAGGGAAAAAAGCACAAAAAATGACAAGATCTCAAAGGATTTTAAATAGATATGCAACAGGGAAAGCAAATAATCTGGCCACTTTAAAGTTATAGAAGACAGCTCATAAAAGGAAATAAAGTTACTAGTTACTCTGTTGCCATCTTTACAGAGGAAGAAAGTGAAGATCTGCCTAGGTCAGGTATCAGTTTTCGAGGGACGACAGACGAGGAACTGCATAACATAAACAAACAATTATCAAAAGGCTAAATGCACTTAAACTAGACAGAGTACCAGGTGTACTAGGGCTTTTTAAAAGTGAGAAAGCAAATCTTAACTTTTAATGGGCCATTTTAGAATTTCATTAGATGCAATAGATATTTCTCAAGATTAAGAATATGAACAATCTTTCACCATGTTTACAGCCTGACAAGACAGTGGGTAAGGAGATGTACAGACAGACCTCAGGAAGAGGTGTGGAAAGCTCAGAACATTCCCTTTAGTTTCTTGCTGTGCTGTAATTTTCTATCTTATCAAGTCAATAGTCACATCAAGTTCACCAAATCAAACTACACACACTAACTAGGGTGTTAAAAGCTAGAGGGATAATCTGTTTATGAATAAAAAACAACAGATTTTTCTAATTTCCAGCATAACAAGCCAAACCAATAAGTGAGCCAGGGGTGGGGGGAGTGGGAGAGGAGGACCCAGAACACACTCCACATCTCCCCAAACCATGTTCTTTCTGCTTCATACATCAACATCAAACATTTTGGAATAAGAACGTCACTGGCTCCTTTGTTTATTACCTTTGAGGGAAAACAGAATGCATACCACTCTTATTAGGCAAGGACATTAGAGGTTAAAGCAAGCTTTTTAGCCAAACCAGGACGATGTCCCAGACTCATCAGGAGCAGATACACACAATAAGAATGCCATTTTAGAGTAATTTTTCTGAAAACTCTCCAACTTTTAAAAAAGTAATGGAATTGAAGCAATGACTAGAAAGTGAGTTTGAGACCAAGATTTATTTCTGAAGAAAGAAGGAAATAATGGATATGAAAATCCAGGAAGGAGGAATTAAGACAAAAGTGGAATAGGTCAGAAGTATTCTGCCATAACATCTTTTTCTGTTCCTGAAATGTATATTCTAAGACACAAAAGTTTCTTTTACAATGCCAGTGTGTCCAAGACTCTAGGGGAAGATTACTACCAAAAGGAAAAGTTGTAGTACTGATGTCAAAACAGCTTGGCAGTAGGGGAAAGAACTAGTCAAACTAGTCACAAACACAAAAATACTGCAGCTGGTCTTTTTATTCTGTCTTGGTAGTTACTATGTTCTCAAAGCACCATTGTAACAGTTCATTGTTGACAGGTTAATCAACTAACAAAATGAAAGGGGTCAAAGACAAGAACAGACTTGAAATATCTACAGACAGCTCTGGATATCCAGTGATAGGTAGTGGAACAGAAATGATTATGGTAGGACTGTATGTTCATTTATTTTCCTTCTTACCTTGGGTTAATTACTTCTGGATAGGCACACACCCTCAAAGTTTTAGAATTTGAGCCAACAGCATACAAACTCCCACTCGGATGAAAAGCCACAGCTCTGACAGCTTGTGTATCTTCTAGAGTATTAATACAAATGAATTGCTTTTTTGATTTATCATCCTGTTGTGTAAAAGTGTGACAGTCACAATAGGTTCACAAACATAACTACATTTTTAATCGCTTACACACATGTTCAAGGCTGAGAGAAGTTAAAATCCATCCCCATTAAAAAAAAATAATGTATTCAAATGTAAAGATTATAGGGGAAAGACTGGGAGGACCAGCCCTTGACTATTTGTGATACGGAGAGTAAAGATATCATAGCATCTTGATCTTAATAAAATCATGTAAGGAAGAGTTTTTCAAAGGTTCTTCTAAAAGACCTACAAGAATGCTTACACAAAACCAAATTAAAACAAAGATAGCATGACCTCACATTTTTCTGAGCAAAGAACTTGAAAAACTTTTAATATTTTAGTTGTTAAAATATTAAGTGTTCTTCTTTGCAAGAGCTTGTTCCTATTTCTTCTACTTCCAAATTAGGAACCAATAAAATGCTTCTCTTTCCTTCCTCAAAGCCATCCAATTATTGTAGTTTTTTAAAATTCAGCTTAATATTTTACATACAGCTGTTAAATAGCCAATTAAGATGGAAGACTCGTGGGTTAAGGGAAAGCCACATACCCTGTTTCCCCGAAAATAAGACAGTGTCTTATATTAATTTTTGCTCCCAAAGATGCGCTAGGTCTTATTTTCAGGGGAGGTCTTATTTTTCTTGTCCTGCGGCCAATCAGTGAGCTGCGCGGCGGCGCCCGCCGCTACAGTCCAGAAGAGTCAGACGCCTTACGGTAGCTTCGGGGCCTTATATTCCGGGGTGGCCTTATTATCGGGGAGGTCTTATTTTCGGGGGGATGCCTTATATTACAGCGAGAGGCAAAACTGGAAGTAGGTCTTATTTTCGGGGGATGTCTTACTTTCGGGGAAAGACGGTAATACTGAACAGGTGAAGTGACATTTCACAACCTCTGGTGCTATTTGTACTAGACTAAGAAGAAACTAAAATACACAGTAAAAGATATTACAGTATAATGTTACATGTTACAAGCATACAATATTCTCTCCAGAATACTTGAACCAATTTATTTTCTGATTTAAATATATAGGAAAATGAGAACTAAACAGAAAGACTTCAAGACTCTTGAGTAGCAGATGGACAAAACTTTTAAAAGTTATAAATTATGCAGTATTTGGTAGAATATACAAGCTGCAAATAGTTTACTTTTTGTATTTTTATTTCTTTATGAAAATTAAAAATTAATCACAAAAAATTACAAGTTACATTTTGAAGAGTCCTGTAACTCAACCTGCTTTCACAACTTACTTTAAATTAAAAATAAAATAAAAAACCAAATTCCCAAACGCCTCCTCCAAAATAACCTTCCAACCAAAACCCCTCTTTGAAATGACATTAAGTACAAAAATTTTCAGACAAAAGATAGTTTATGGTGAAAGTTAGAAGGGATTCAAAGTTCTGCTTATAATGGAACCAGGTCAAGCGACTCCTGTAATTCATAATATGGGGCTGTACCTCTTAAGTCACTGGTAAATGTGAACACCTTTAAGATAAATTTTTCCATCAAAGACAAGTTTGGCCATTAAAATTAGTGGACACTGGAAAATTTGGACCTTAATGTTTATAATGGTAATGACTTCCATTATATATCCTCCTATATGCTATCAGGAATCTCCAACACCATTTCTCTACTGTTTTGAATGTGTGTGGTAAAGCAGATGTTTTTGAAAAAACGGTTACTCACCTTCTCGTAACTGTTGTTCTCCAAGATGTGTTGTTCATGTCCATTCCAATCAGGTGTAGGCGTACGCGTGTGCACGGCAGCTGGAAGATTTTTCCCCTACCAGCATCCATCAGGTTGGTCTGGGCACTCCCTGGAGTGGCGCCTTCATGGCGCTCACTATAGAGCCCTAACGACCCGCCACCCCCTCAGTTCCTTCTTGCCGGCTGTTCCGACAGAGGGGTAGTTGGGTGGGTATTGGAATGGGCATAAACAACACATCTTGAAGAACAACAGTTACGAGAAGGTGAGTAACCATTTTTTCTTCTTCGAGTGCTTGTTCATGTCAATTCTAATCAGGTGATTCCCATGCCTAAGTTCCAGAGGTGGGGTTGGAGTTCAGATGTCCGCTGACTGGAGCACTGCTCCACCAAAGGCCGTGTCGTCTCTGGCCTGCTGGGTGCTAGCATAATGTGATGTGAAAGTATGTATTGAGGACCACGTCGCCGCTCCGCATATTTCCTGGGTGGGAACATGTGCCTGGAAGGCCTTTGAAGAAGCCTGCGCCCTGGTGGAGTGCACTGTGAGCAAGGGTGGGGTGTGGACCAGACACCTCTGCCAGGTTATAGCAATCACGGATGCAGGACGTGATCCATGACAAAATTTGTTGAGAGGAGACTGGAAGACCTTTCATCCTGTCTGCCACAGCCACAAACAGTTGAATGGACTTCCAGAATGAGGTTTCGTTCTTTCAATGTAAAAGGGTAGCGCTCTGCAGATGTCCATCGAGTGAAGCCTCTGCTCTTTGCCGCTTGCGTGGAGCTTAGGATAGAACACTAGGAGGAAGATGTCCTGGTTGATGTGAAATTGGGAGACAACCTTCGGGAGGAAAGCTGGATGTGGCCTGAGCTGAACCTTGTCCTTATAACACGGTGTAAGGGGGCTCTGTTGTTAGGGCCTTGAATTCGGACACCCTCTTGGCTGAGGTTAACGCTACCAGAAATGCCACCTTGTACTAGAGGTAGAGCAGGGAACAAGTCACCAGCGGTTCGAAGGGTGGACCCATCAATTTGGAAAGGATCAGATTGAGGTCCCAGGTCGGGACCGGTTGTTGGACGTGCAGATATAGCCTGTGAAGACCTTTCAGAAAATGGCTGACCATAGGGTTGGCAAAGACCGACCGGCCCTCTGCGCCTGGATGGAAGGCAGAGATGGCAGCCAACCCTTATTGATGACATGGACAGTCCCTGCTGCTTAAGCTGGAGAAGATACCCCTTATACTGGACTATAGACACAAGCGTCGGAGATGGACAGCGTTGCACCGATCAAATCGAAAACCTCTTCCATTTGGCTAGGTAGGTAGCCCTGGTGGAGGGTTTCCTACTGCCAAGGAGGACTTTTTTGACCGGGTCCGAACAGGAGAGCTTCCATGCTGTGAGGTGCAACGACTCGAGGTTCGGGTGCTGGAGATGGATGTGATCCTGAGTTAAGTCTGGGAAGAGCGGCAAGGTGACTGGGGCTTCCATGGACATTTCCAGGAGCAATGTGTATCAATATTGGTGGGGCCAGGCTGGAGCTATCAATATCACTGAAGCTTGTTCCCTCCGAATCTTGAGGAGCACCTTGTGAATAAGAGGGATAGGTGGAAGCGCGTATAGGAGATGGCCTCCCCATGGGAGGAGGAACGCATCTGCGATGGAGCCCAGGCTGTGATTCAGGAAGAAGCAAAACCGCTGGCACTTCCTGTTGCATTGCATAGCAAAGAGGACTATTTGGGGAAAATCCCACCATTGGAAGATGTAGTTTGTGACATCCGGGCATAGGGACCACTCATGGCAGTGGAAGGACCTGCTGAGATAGTCCGCCAACTCGTTCTGCACTCCAGGGAGGTACGATGCTTGTAGGTGTATTGAATGTTCTACACAAAAAGGTCCCACAGCCTGAGGGCTTCCTGAAACAGGGGAGAGGAGCATGCACCCCCATTTGTTGATATAAAACATCACCGTGGTGTTGTCTGTAATAACCGATACACTTCTCCCGGTCAAGTGGGCTCAGAAGTCTTGCATGCAAGGAAGGGATGATGGATGCGAAGGAGATCATGCAGAAGTTGAGTTTCTTCATGAACTTGTTGAGCTCTTGCAGGTCTAGGATGGGCCTGAGCCTGTCTTTGGCTTTCGGTATTAGGAAATACCGGGAATAGAAGCCCTTGCTCTTCAGCTCCTGAGGAGCCTCTTCCACTGCTCCCATCGATAGGAATTGCTCATGAGAAGGGTCCCTGAAGAGGGACGGGGAAGGGGGTTAGAAAGGTGGGAGGGCCGAGAATTGGAGGGAGTATTCCCTTTCTACCATGTGGAGCACCCAACAGCCCAATGTGAAACAGGACCAACCAGGGTAGAAAGGGGATAGTCGGGACGAGAATGTAAGGCGGGTTGGATCCAGTTCGTTCACTGGTGCACCGTCCTCATGCACACCTTCAAAAGGCCTGTTTCTGGCCCGAAGGTGGCTTGGATTGGCCAGAGCCCTGGCTTGAAGATGGATGCGGTCTCTTTCTGCAGCTCCTATTCCTCCTCGGGGAATCATCTTGACGGTTCTGTTGAAAAAACCACAGAGGAGGTTGCGGCCTGAAGTGCTTCCGCTGCGTGGTGAGAGTGTGGAGGCCCAGCGACTTGAGGGTGGCTCTCAAGTCCTTTAGGCTATGTAGCCTTTTATCCGTCTTTTCGGAGAAGAGAGCCAAACCCTCAAAGGGGAGGTCCTGAATAGTCTGCTGGACTTCGTATGGCAGGCCCAAGACCTGTAGCCAGGAACCCCTTCTCATGGCTATCCCTGTAGCCATAACTCGAATAGCCACATCAGCTCTGTCCAGTGTGGCCCACAGTGGAGCTCGGGAAATGAGCTTCCCCTCCTCCACCAGGGCCGAAAACTCGGTGTGGGAGCCCTGCGGCAGCAGCTCTGCAAATTTCGCCATTTCCCTGCATGTATTATAGCAGTACCTGCTGACAATGGCCTGCTGATTAGAAATGCCGAGTGCAAGCCGCTAGTGCAGTAGACTTTTCCCCTGAAAAGGTCGAGTCATTTTGCCTCCCGATTCTTTGGGGAGGGGCCTTGGTAGCTGAGGTACCTAGGAGGAGGTATTCGGTGCAGGGTCCACCAACCCGGGGTCGGACTGGGGACGGAGTGTCACTTCCATTAGTAGGATCTTCAGGCACTCATCCCTATCTTTTAATGACCTGGGGCAAAACCCCCTGCAGATCCTACAGCGATCCTTTTGAAGGCTCTCCCACAAATACTTCACACACAAAGTCTAAGGATCGCTTCTGGGCATACACTTGCCACAGACTTCACAGGCTTTGAAGCCTGGAGACCACGGCATGCCCCAGCGCCTGGATAGCGCTGGAGGGAAAACCCCCCCAAAGGAAACTTAAGAACTAACCTGAAGTACCAACTAACTACTTAACACTAACTACAAAAACTAATGAATAACTATATACAGACTGCCAAATGCACTTGTCACGACAAAAGCAAGGGGAAGAGCAAGGGGAAGTTCCAGCTAACCGTCACTGACGGTAAGAAGGAACCGAGAGGGTGGTGGGTCAGTAGGGCCCTATATTGAGCGCCATGAAGATGCCACTCCAGGGGGGTGCCCGGACCAACCTGACGGATACTGCTATGGGAAAAATCTACTGGCTGCCGTGTGAGCGCACAAATCCCCCCCCCGATTGGAACTGACATGAACCACCACCTGCAAAAATATGTCACTCAGTGTGGCAACAGCAGCTCCTTTCATGGGTGTATTTGCCTCAGTACTGTATGATGTGGTCAGTGCTCTACTCCCTCTGATTGTTCTTGGGCCAACAAGCATTTTGTAGCCACCTAGCATTCTCCCTTCCCTTTCTCCTACAAGCCAGAAAAGAGGCAGAAACCTTGAAGATCCCTACTACTATGCAAGAGGTTTTTTGGACGATAAGTGGGTGGATGGGAGTGGGGTGAGAAACGGGCTACTCCACAAAGCTCTCTTATAACAGAGAAAGAAAATGGTCTAGTTCCCTTCTTAGAATCAGAGTATGCAAAGAATTAATATCTGGTCATTTGATACATTTATCATCATGGTATGTGTCCCCCACAGTATACCAAACCCTCCATTTTGTAAGGAAGATAGTTATGTGCTGCCTGACTCCATTCAGAATACTCCAAATATTACTTTATGACGGTAATAGACAAAGTCCCATAAGCAGTATTTTGGGGGCCAGCATAGGAGAGCACTGATGGTAAGGACTTAAAAGAGCAAGTTGCAGTCTGAGTAGATTTTCATGGAGTAGGAATTGTTTTGGGGTGGATATGAGGGGAGCCTGAAATTTTGCTGCATCCAGCCCCCTCGCACCCCCATTTAGTCTTAACCCTCATCTGCATTTTGTTCATTTTGAAACTTGGCATGTATTAGAAACTCATTACAAATACTGTTGCTCTTAACATCTAATATTATTAAGATATTATATAGTCAGATTCAAAGGCTGTGTCCTGTAAGGATAATATAAATACCCTTTAAAAAAGTCTCACCTCATCACCTCTTGTCCTAGTTAGATTCCCTGAAGAATCTTCAAGTTGTGGCTGAATGATAGTGTGTTCTGGCATACTGTTTGGTTTTAAAAAAGAAATAAAAAAAAAATTTAACGCAATACACAAGATAAGCAGATCTTTCTCATTTCTAATTTGTCTGTTCGATGAATATATACTGACTAGAACAACAATATCCAACCAGGCACTCAGAATTAACTCATTAATTTATAGGAGCAACAGTAGCACTTATGTCTGACACATTAACAATAAGCCATCATTTTACAGAATTTTTTAAAATATTTTTGCAAAGTAAAATAAAATGTTAAATATATAACTAAAAAGCGACATTGTCATCTTGAAAATTAACTTGTCTGGGAGTGTTGTATTTACTATTACTACAAGCAACATCTAAAAAAAGGAAAGAGTAAGTCTCCCTCTTCCTGTCCCATTACTTTCTGCATTATACAGAAGGTGTATAGTCAGTTTTACGGTTTCCCTGTGTAGGCAGTCACTCAGTAAAATGGAACATAACTGGTAAGACTTATACAAATAGGGAGCAAAAAAAATCAGGATATATTGTTTACAGGGTGATCTATCAAAAGCAGAAATCTAAGTGAACTGAAAAAAACCTGAGTTTACATTGACCATTTAGCAAGAACTGTGTATCACTGAAGGTCTGCTAGAGCCTGATTTTTCAACCCAAGCCCACCAGACCTGACCTTGAGAGAGTTCAGTCATTTTATGGCCCAGCCCAGCCCCTTCTCCTCAAACCTGATACTGCCTGCTGCTGCTGGAGTGGGCTCCCCTCCTCCCGCTCATGGTGTCATGGTGGCAGCTCCATGTGGTGGTGGCTGTGTGCGCTACTCCTGTCATTCTCCACCCCCAGCTGCACTGTATGTGCTATAGAGTGAGGCCTTGTCTAAACTACCAGGGTAAGTCGACCTAAGTTATGCTACTCCAGATACGTGAATAACATAGCTAGAGTTGACGTAGCTTAGGTCAACTTACCGCGGTGTCTACACCACGCTGCATTGACGGGACACGCTCTCCCGTCGACTTACCTTACTCCTTTTGTTCTGGTGGAGTACCGGAGTCAACCAGAGAGCACTCTGCTGTCGATTTAGTGGACCCGCTAAATCGACCCCAGCTGCTGCATCGATTGCAGCAGCATTGATCCCCGGGAAGTGTAGACATGGCCTGAGAGGGCTACAACTCCTCGGCACATTCACTTTGCAGCATGCACAGTGCAGCAAGGGTGGCAGAAGACAACAGGAGCGGGGCACACTGCCTCCACTTCAATGACTCCACAGCAGGAGGAGAGTCAACCTAACCCACCTGTTTTCCCACCTGATCTGGACCTAACACTTTTAGTCAGGTCCCATCGGATTCAGGTCGGGTCATAGGGTTCCATACATCACCACAAATAAATGAATTTTCTAGTTTTCAAAATACAGTACCCATACTCATAGTATTAACTGAAGATTAGCAACATTTCCAGCTCTGAACAATCTCTAGTGCTTACGTTTTACTCCCATGGACAGGCGATTCTTCAAGAAAGGGTATCTGATTTGTTGATCCACGCTTTTGAGGAGTGCTCGTATTAACATTTTGGTTATCAGTACCTATTCTCTGACTAACATCTGGAGGTGGTGATACGAAGCTAGTTGCTGGCGTGTTAGATGCATGCTCTTTGCTCCCATTACATTGCTGGCTGAGCGTCTGCACATCATTTTCAAGAGTGTCTATACCTATGTTTAACTCTCCCAACTTTTGAATAGACCTGCACAGGGTTGATGAAAACAGACAATAGAAGTTAAAGAAACAGTTTATAATATGGGAACTTGAAAAGTTAAGTTGTACCCATGTTGCCCAGTAGCATGATAGGTATAATAATTAATCTATGAAAAGTTTGAAGATTATATTTAATTACAATGGTGTTTAACCCAAAGATTTTTAGCAGCCCATTTACTTAAAGAGTGACAATATTTTTGACATGCTTTAACCCCACCCTGCCAAAATGAAAGGAAGAGTATTTTCATATGAACAAACTGACAAGATGTCAAAGTAAAAAATAAGTTTTCCTTTACATTTAATATCTATTTCTCCCATCATAAAATAATCATAAAAAATACTTCTTTACACTTCGTCACCAAAGTGACAACCTAATATCACACTCATAAGAGAACCATAGAAAGTAACGAAGATAACTAGAATCAAACATTGAGCACCTTATTTTAGGTTATGTATTTACTACATAACTGAAATAATTACATTTTGGGGATTTCAAGCTCATGAGGTTTCTAGAGTGAATCTATTATGTGATAAAGTCAGACCAGACAACTGTGAGAGAGTGGTCTTGTTGAGGTCCAGGAAGTGGGCTGGCAGAAGCCCACCCATGGCGAAAGGCCCCTCCCCCAGCCTAAGGGGAGGAGCCACTGATCACAGGACTCAAATACGGGGGACAACAGAAGAAAAAACAAGGACAGGTGTGAGGGCAAAGGGTCAAAAGCAGGGAACCTGAAGGGAACACCGAGCAGAGAACCCCAGACAGTGCTCCTCAAAGCTGTCAAAGGAGCCAGCGGACGCAGCCCAAAGGGACTCTGCTCGAATACGTGACCAGAGAGAGGAACGGAAATACGCCCCACAGTCACAGAGCTGCCTCTCGGCCAACATCCTCTCCCTGGTGTTATAGATGGCCACTTTGGCCATTGCTAGGAGGCAGCTGATGAGGAGCTCTCGCTCAGCCCTGCAATGTTAAAGGTCCTCCCCCATGAACTGAAAAGAGGTTACCTCAGGCCAATGAGGGACACTTGAGTTCAATTAAGGGCTGCCTGCGACCTTTAAAAAACCCTCCCTCTCTCTCACCAGAAAAGGAGATAAGCTGCCCCAGGGCTAGTGACCACAGGGAAAAAAGGCTTCTCCTGAGTGGAGGGCTGCACTCCTCCCTAAACGGAAAGTAACTATGCAAATGGACTGTTTGGGGAAGTACTGGCACCCAGAGGCGAGCATAATGAGGCAACACCCCAGAGATGGGGAAGAGAAAAAAGTATTCCCTCTTTTATGTTATTACCTTGTTTCTTTTTTGTTTGGCTAGAAGGTACTCCCTTAGGCCTACCCTGAGGTCCACACTGGGACTGATTAACTCCAGGTCCCCACTGCCAGAGGGGGAAACGCTGTGCCCAGCAAGATAAAGGAGGTGCCTTGCCACAATTGTTTTAAGACAGAATTGTGTGTTTGATAACAGTTCATACATGGGGCAGGTTATTTAGCATAGACCTAACAAACATTAAGAGTTTTTGTTTTTTTTAAGGGCTAAACTCTGTCCATTTGGATTTTCATGGGTTTCTGAATATTGGGCTATACACTAGACACGTACAAAGGATTTCCATTAATATCAACAGGAATCCTCCATAAAAAGACAAAAACACTTGGCCCTAAAGGACATAAAATACTAGAACTAGGTAATAATACTTAATAGACTTAGTTGATGAATTTTGCCTCTGAACTGAATTTCCTCTCTTTGCTAGCAGAGTTCAAATAGTATTCACACATTCCTTCAAATAAGTTTTGGTCTTATGAACTAACGAAAATAAAAATATTCCAATTACACAAGTGTGATATTCCCTATTATGCCATGAGTTTAAAAAAGAAAAGTTTATTTTACATGGCGAGAAAACAAATCTATAAAAATTTCACTCTTCTCCAGGAGGTCTAAAATTTAGACATGAGACAGTTTAACATGAAGAGCCTGATTTAGTAATACTTCCCATATGAAAAGCACAGCCAATTAATATAAATATTTCAAGGATATATGTAGAATATTTTATTTGCCTGATGGCCATATTCAAGTCTAGTTTAAAATTCCCAAATGCTAAGTTATCAGTAGTTTAAATTACTAGGGTCTATAATTTTATTCCTTAAATTGAATAATCCTTGAGCTTGGTCAAATCATTTAGAGCAAAGCAAGGTGGGTTTATGCAACAGAACTGGGTACACAGCAGACTTGGTCAAAATATACCACAAGGAGTTAAACATTTCCCCCCCCATAAAGAATTCATTATAAAAATGGCTGTACAATAAGTTTCCTTAAAACTTTCCTCAAATATATCCAGTTTTTCAGGTTCTAGAAAAACAGAGGCCCTGGTCCAAAGAACACCTAGACCCATGCTTAAACTTTACATTCTTGAATTTAGGTGTGCTCAAGTGTCTTGCTAGAAAAAGTCAGATTATAATCTGTAGTCAGCAGACATCAAAAAGTTAGTAAAACCTTTTTTGAGTGGAGGTGCGGGGGGAGGGGAGGGAAAAGGAGGGGGGAGTGCCAAGCTTTTCTTTGCAAAACTTATGTCTATTTATTCAAATTTTGACCAATTAGAGGATACTGTATTTGAAGAGGGATTTGTAGCTTTAGAATACCAACACAATGACAACTGTCATTATTTTTAGACCAAAATACCCAAAGCCAGCTTTTTAGTTGCTGCTTGGTTTGAATTAAGTTCATTATATTATAAAACCGAGGAAAAGTGAGTCAGTTGCCTATTTGAGCTTCCAAAGAATATGACTATTAAAGCAGATTTGTTCTTGTTAGAAGTTAGTTGGCTTTCCTCATGATTTTCATATCAATACCCCAAATTTTAGTAATGAATTGTCTGAATATAAGCCAATATGGAGAAAAGCTCTCCCAATTACAGGGTTATCTTAGTATAAAACATTTAAAGAGAGACCACAAACAACTTCAAATATCTGTATACAAGTTCATTGTTATTTCACTAAATTGTTTAGTGAGTTATTTTTCATTCCTGTTCATGACAGAGGAGTTTATACTTCAGATAAATTTATTGGCAAACATAATTTTAGCCCAGAAAGTTATTTTTGGGTACATCTGCAAAAAGAGTAATTCCATATTTGGCATTCTGAATATCTAAGCAGATTAGGGGGCAATTTAGTACTGAAGAGCATAAAATGACATATCAGTGAAACAGTCAACTAAAGCCAACCTGTTAAGAAACTGTTCAGTAAGATTCTGTTGCTGGTCTGTCCCATCTTCCTGGTTTACTCCTCCTTCAAGCAACATTTGCTGATACAGTTGTCGTTGTTGCTCTTTCTGTTCTAAATGCTGTTGGTAACGTAATCTTTGTCTATAATATTCTTGAAACTGCTCTGTTGAATCACGAAGCTTAACGAAATAAGGATTATTTGGGTTAGACACAATTAGGCTTAAAAAGATTAGAATTTTAATAGTAAATGTTGGTAAAGGTCCATTTCATTGTACACACACAAATCAACAATTTTTTTTATCAATAATAATCAAAATGTACAAATAGTCAAAGTAAGAAAATGCTCCTTGAGAACAGTTTGATTTAAGGATGTTTGTCAACATCGCATGTCAAAATATACAGAGCAGTTTGTGCTTTAATGGTTATAAAGCTTTAATTTTTTGAATCTGGCTTTGCAGGACTGAAGAATGAAAGTGGTTTTGTCACTATAGTAAGCAAGTAAAACTGAATACACAAGAAATTTATCTACTGGTTAAAGATGCCATTTCTGCTATTAGTTTTTAGAGCAGATTTTTACTTTAGTAATACAAGCAAAAAGCTATAGCAATCCTACGGGACAAAATTTAAACACTGGAATACCACAATTTAAGGTAAAAAAATTACTCAGCAGCAGAAAAAAGATTATTTCATTCTCTTTTTTTCAGAAGCATTACAAGTAGGACTTCTTTTGTCAACTAATATGTACACTTACATGAAACCCAAGGCAAAACACCCTCATAACCATTGAAATTGTAGATTAGAAGGAGCTGTTTCAGGACAACTAGACAAGCTGGTGGATCTTCTATTGATACAGTAGGAACAAGAATCTGTACCTTGTACAATTAGTGTCATGGAACACAGAATCATACTGCAAAGTCTAAACCTTGTTTCCTTTTTTAAAAAAGTTTCTAATAGTTGTGAGTAAAACACTGTTGTATGCAACAATGCAAGGGTGTCATCACAAACCTACAGACAGCTTAAAATAAAAGCTTTGAAAGATGTGAACTATCCCCACTCACCTCATCAAGAGGTTAACTGTGATGTATGAGTTAAGTACAAATGGAAACAATGTTGTCTATCACCACCTGACCCAGTCACCCTTTCTGGATAGATCCCAGTCAACTGTGATTTTGATTCAACTGCTGAATCCCACGTGCTTCTAAGCCCCCTGGGTGTGGGCAGTAACTGATCACTGTTCCTAGTTTTGGGTCTCTCAGGCACATTTACAGATGCAGATCCCATCTCTAGCATCCTTCTTGAGCACTAGTACCCTGCAATCTGTCTGCCTAGACCCAGAACCAGTGCTATAGCCCTCCTGAGCCCCCATTTGGTAAGGGATTTCTCCAGAGTCCACCGAGTTGTGGGAACTGTGATTTCTAGATTAACCACTTCAGGGAAACCCAGCAGTAAAGTTAGGAACACAGGCTTAGCAAAGGAATTCCTTGTGTTTTTTTGTGTTTTTTTTTTTAAACCAAAAAAACAAAAACAACAAAAAAAAAACCCCGCAACCATTTAACTTTTTTAAAAAAGATGAATAAGTTTTCCATAGATCTGTAACAGTCCTCAACGCAACCTTCCCTTCTGATCTCACCTTGCCTGCGAGTCCTGGTTTTGGTTAGCATCTTTACGTGAGGCAGAGTTTCTTCTGCCTGTTTTGCTTACACAATGAGGAAGAAGTGGCCCCTTGCTGAGAAAAGAGCCTCCTTTTAAAGTCTCTGTCCATGTGCCCAGCTCCAGCCCCTCCGCTACATCATTCTAGTAGGGAAGAGTCATTCAACGCTGATGGCTCCTGATAGCTTAGTCTTCTTTAAGGTGTCCCACACCCTAGCATGTGCACATAATGTCTCAAGTAGATTAACCTTGTCAAGATTAGACTGGTTTTCAACACTACCTGATTATGTCTTCATCCAATGTGAAGATTACAATACAGAGTTAGGGTCAGAGTGAAAGTTACAATCACCCAAGTGGTGTACTCAGAACAAAATGGGGTTCACAATTTGACTAGATATGTCCCCAATCTGTCACTATTTCAGTACCAATAATTGTAACACAAATATCCAGCAAACACTGCAATCCATTGTTGTTGAATAAAGAGGTCGATATTTGGGTGGTGGAAAGTGAAGGCAACTCTGTTCAGTGGGAAGCACTAAAGCCAACAACTCTCATTTCACTTCACTCTGCTGCTGCTGCTTGGAGAAGCCTTGGTGAAAAGCCCATGAACCTCCCTTGTGATCCTGCTTAACACTTCCAGGTTCTGACTGCTAGGTTTAGTTCCCTGGCCATCTGATAAGTTTTTCAAGCCCTACAATACCTTCCTGAAAGCTTACTGAAACAAAAAAGTTGGGCAACTTAAATCTGATTTACTTTCTAACAAAATACAGTTAACAAGGCTTCTGTTATTCATCATCAGTATATCTTTATATTCTGAATTGAATAGTCCACTCAATAGGGTGTACATAATTTTAATTTCTTAGTTGTCACAGGCAGGACATATACAAAATGTTAACACTACATCCCACAAAACAACTAGCGGCAGGTAAGTTCTATATTGGATTCCTTATTTACCAAACAGAAAAGTAAGTTACAAAAATGGTTCATTCTTAGATCAGAATATTCTAACCATTATGCTAACTTCATATACTGCACAATATTTTAAAATATACAGCAGTTTTTGTTACATTTGAGTTAAGAGCACAATCACCTGCTGCATCATCCAGTTGTATGACAGCAAAAGTTTGTCTAATGGAAAGGCAATTAGATATATTATCTTATGTTGCAAGTATATTACTTAGAGCAAAACAAGATTCAAAAGCATCTGTATTATATACATGGATGAAGTTCCCATCATAGCAGGCAAATTGTTATGCAATTTATCAGAGCAGGAAGCTCAAAAGGCCTTTTTATGTGGAAATAATCAAATGTTACCTCATTTTTTTCTGGTTTGGCTGGTCCTTGATTCTGTGCTCCATTTACTGGCTCATTTTCTGGAACTGAACTCTGGCATATGGTCTCACTGCCAATGGAATGCTGCGGCTCCACAGGAGTATCACTTCTTTCAGTGATATGAAAAACAGAAGAGGTTTATTTGTGAAATCTGACTAATAGAAAATCCTCTAATAAGTAAAGAAATATATATTTATAGAATAAATCTGAAATAATTATGTACAAAGCACCCCATTATATGAAGCCCAAAGATATTACTGGCAGAGCAGACAAAAATATCCCATTTTAACCTATTATACTAACAGTTGCTAGCCCTAAAAATAGAGGTAATGTACTTTGTTCTCAGATTTTTCCAAAAAGCCTTATATTTTGGAAGTCCCATTATGCTTTTATTTTCTATTTTGATGCCTTCCATGAAAGGCTGTCCATTCCTTCAACAATCTAAAACACCATCAACAAATTACTCAAGCTCTTTGTTAAATTTTCAGATCTCTCCCACTTTTGAGGAACACTAATTACATCTGTTGGCTTCTTCCACTGTTCCCTAAAATTCTGGGAGGGGAGGAAGCCTACATTCATCACAAGGCACCTCCGCAACTGCCTCCCATTCTGTACAGGATAATATTTCTTTAAACTACATTTAAATGACATTCAACATTGGGAAGCTAGAAAATTCCGGTTTTAGCTATATAGGAAAAAGAGTGCAACTAAAATCTGTTCTCACTTAAGGTGCTTTATAGGGACTTACAAAATTAGGGTAAGAAGTATTTCCACATGGAATTATTTTAGAAAACATTTCAGTAGCCAGTAAATATGCAGAATACATTAGAAAATGTTGGACTCTTTAAAGAGTACTCTAACCTGACAAAATTGCAAATACTTAATGGTTTGGAGCAGCGATTTGTTGAAATTATTTTTGAGTTACTGGTGTATGTGTGCATTAGCAAAAACAATTTAATCGGATTAATAGACATTTAAGGATCTCCCTTTTGTCTACTGAACACAAGAAGAAATATCTCCTTTACAGGTTAGGAGAGAGAAGTAAAATAAGGGGTGCTGAGCTCTTGTGAAAAATGCCAAGAGCTCCCACTCTTGAAAATCTGGTCAGTTAATTTAGGTACCTAATTGGAAGCTGAACTCTTTTGAAAAATCTAACCTCAAATGGGGGTTGTGAGCATTTTTGAAAGTCTGGCCCTCAGCCTACTTCCAGCTTTCATGAGGTATGAGAACTATATTTAATAAAAAAATACAAGATTTTCATATTAGTTATCTGTTACATTTTACATCAAATCAAAAGCCTGATCCTGTAAATCCCTGTACAAAGCGTTTGCAAAATAGCGTAAAGATAGCTCATGCTAATTATTGCGATCTATAGCCTTGAAGTATATAATTCACGTAATACATTCATTATGTATAGAATCAATGACAGCAGCATATTAAAATAGAAAAATAAAAGTTATTCAAGTATGAAATCCTTAGTAAAATATTTCACATTCTAGAACCAGTTTTAAAACATACGGATATGGCAGATACCCAAATGCAAAGCTTTAGATATACAGGTGACCATATTTGGAAAAGTATTCAAATTTTGCTAAGGTTACTTCTTACACTACACACTGCTGGTGGTGGCAGGTAGGCTATATGTACACGTCAGTGGCAGGGGAGAGACAGTGGGGAGACGTTTCAGCAGCTCCCTGATGGTAAGCATTTCACTGAGTCCAGGAAAAGCTCTGGCAGGGATTGGCAGCGGCGAAAGGCTCAGCCTTTCCCCACTGCTGGAGCCTTTTCCTACAGCAGGGGAAGGCTCCAGCAGTGGGGAGGGAGCAGAGACTTCCCCTGCTCTACTCGCCTAAGCCATACCTCACCATCTACACTGCTATTTATCCCCATGCTAGAGGAGCGATCAGAGTATGTACTCTGCATGCTGATGAAAGAAGTGTGCAGTATAGACATACTTTAAACAGCTTAAACAGGTTTACTGTGCAAGTTTTAAGAACACTATGTATATAAATTTAGAGTTCATAAGCCATAAACCCTGATTTTAATAAGGATTAGAAAGGAAAAAGTTTCATATCATGAAGGTATGGGGGGAGCAAGTTTCCATAAGAATTTTAGTTCTTAAAATGAGAAAAATCAGTTTTGCATACTACTGTGTACTAACACAAAGTATTAACTAATTCCTATAGCCATCATAACCGGATTAGCTGGAATTTAAATAGAAATATAGGGAAGCAAATCTGAAAGTCTTGCTGGGATTATGTTTGAAGATCAATTAGGTACAATATATCTAAGTGCAACTGTGGTTATAGTTGCACAAGTCTCTAATATTGGTGAATTTTTTTAAGGCTCTGCTCCTGCAGATTTACATATGGGCACAGTTCCGCTGACTTCAATGAGATTACTTATGAATATGAAGTTTAACATTTACTTAATTCTTTGCAGGATCAGGACCTAAATTTGCAATGATAGTTGGTGTGGCATAGTGCCATCCTGTGGACATTCCATTCATCTACAAGGAAGTGTGGAGACAGGGTTATTACATAGGTGAGAGAAAAGAAAGAAACAGAGTTTAGGAATTCTCTAAAACAGACACTGAATCTAGTTTCATTTGCTACATTGCTGATGTAATCATTTAAAAAAATTCACAGAAACCTCAGAATTTCTGCTTTTTCAAGAATACAAAGAGTTGGAATGCTGTTATTTACAGTTCGATAAATGGCATTCAGAATATTTTAAATCAACCACTGAAATATTTTACACTTCCAATGCATGCTACTATATACCTACATACATAGTAAGTTCCAATAAGAACTTCAGTAACTAGAATCTAGTGTCAAGTATCAGAGGGGTAGCCGTGTTAGTCTGAATCTGTAAAAAGCAACAGAGGGTCCTGTGGCACCTTTAAGACTAACAGAAGTATTGGAGCATAAGCTTTTGTGGGTGAATGCCATCTGATGAAGTGGGCATTCACCCACGAAAGCTTATGCTCCAATACTTCTGTTAGTCTTAAAGGTGCCACAGGACCCTCTGTTGCTTTTTATAGAATCTAGTGTATATCCGGTTTTAGATTTAAGCCAGAACTTCATCTTTCTGCTATATTTTGGGTAAACTATAGATGGGCTTGAATAAAAGCTTCAGATTTGAACATCCCTGAACTTTGGGGAAGACTGAATTAAAATCTTGTCAGGCTTATACCCATTTTTAGTTTAAAAGTCAAATTTCTTAGGGCTTAAGGAGAGAAAAAAGAAACAGTTTGAACTGCAATAGGATTTACGCATCCAACTTTAATTACCATTAATGTAAGTCACAAGTGCACCTGGATGAACATAACCTTATATATTTAACATGGTCAGTTACAGTTCAGTATTAACAACTCTCTTTTTAAAAAAAATGTGGAGTTAAATGAAACTTACCGCTCAGGTGACTCTTCATAAATGCTATGGCAATCTGTATTTTCAAGCATGAGACTTCTGCTAAGATTCTGCACTCCTGGGTAATGGAAATTGGCAAAGGAGTGTGACATTGGAGAGGTTTTATTTCCAAGGTCTGTGACTCGCTTATCATGATTCGTTAATCCACATGACAGCCCATCTAAGGCAGGGTTTAAGGAACGAGTCATGTAAGCATCAGCTGACTGAGGCCGCCTCATTGGGGATGATGGGTAAGGAGAAAGTTTGCTGATAAGAGGTGTCAAAAGATCAGCATATGCAGCTTTTGTGGGCTTCAAGAGTTTATCAACATGAATATTAAGCATCTTTTGTTCAAAAGCACAAGAGAAAACAGAAGCTGGCAGATTCTGAAGCCATGACAATAAACTCAGGTCCAAGTCATCACACCCATTACCACACAAAAGATCAATGCCAAGCAATACTTCACTCTCTGTAATTTCTTCTCCTGTTGCTTTACTCTGACAGAATTCCACACAACATTCATAAAGCAATCCCTTCATTACGAGCTGAAATAAACGATTATTACTTGCTTTGAAACCAGCCTCACTCAGTTTCCTGTCGGCAGGAATAAACTCTGCAACCATGATGCAAGCTTCTTCGAAGCAGTGAACTCGTGCAGTACTAGGGTTCCAGTCTTTGAATTCTGCATGGTTGGTCAGACGGGGCAATGTAAGTAACAAACACAGTTTACTATAGTCTTCTTTAGAAGGACAATATTCTTCCAGGGCATGTAGGCACTGTACAGCTTCTTGCATTGTAAACTCCAGCTATAGAAGAAATATTAAATACCAACAGGACACGGTTGACTTTAAAGTTACCAATTTATTCTTCTACTACAAGGACAGTTAGCTGCAGAAGGATAACATGCATTAGGATTTCCCTCATTTTTCCTTTGCTGTTACTATAGTTTTCATTTTAATTACGTTAGCGTACATGGAGTCTGCAACAGATTTCATGTCAGCAGTTTTAAGACCAAATTCTTCTTCAGGGACTTCAATTTTCAAATCACTTGATCAATAAAATGAGGGTCATGCTGATGTGGTTGTTTTCCTAGAAGCCACTACATGTTTTAAGCTCTCAGAATTTTAATATCTGTAGTTAAACAAATTTGCTACAACTGTAGGTTGAGAAGGCATTTCCAGTTTAGGAGTCGAATTCTCTTTTCAGAGCCATAAAGAGGAGAAACTCCATTTAAGTTAGAATATCAAACTGGTGTAAGAGAATCAAGTCCTAAGTTTCTGTAATTTTCAGTCACTGGAAACTCTGAGAAAGTTACTTTTTGTGTTGAAGTTTTTCATGCTTATTCTCAGACTATACGTAATGTGTGTGTGTAAAAACAAGCGATGAAAATCTCCACAGCAATTTGCAGATCACATATTCAAATACACACAGATGTGTTTGATTAATTTTCAACAAATTCTAAAACAGAAGGCAAGCTTAAATGCAACACTAAAATTGAGATGTTAGCTGCAGAAAATGGAACTTTTAGCTAAACAAATGACTACCATGAGCCTTCAGGAACAACAATACGGTACTATGGACTTGCATAGTGTCTAATCAATAAGAGGATCTTAAAGCATTTCATTAATGTAAACAAGTATAAAAACTTACGTGCTGAGGCTCATCTTCTGCTGACATTGCATTGTTCACACATAAGGCTTCTAAAAATTTCTGTTTCAGTATAATATAGCGAAACCTGCACATAAGAAGTGAAGTATAAGACACTAAAGATCTTAAAGCAGTAGCTAAGTAGTACATTCCACAGATAACTGCAGCTGCAAAGCTTTTGCTCTCAAAATGTAACAAGCCAAGCAATAAAAGAATTGGTTCTTTGCAGAAAAGATGTCTTTTTCCAATGATTTACTTCCAGAAATATTACATGTTAAAATAATTGCTGGTTCATAAGAGAAAGATCCACAGCCAGTCTCCTCCTTTCTTGAATACCTGAAAAAAGAACAGGAGTACTTGTGGCACCTTAGAGACTAACAAATTTAGCTGTAGCCCACGAAAGCTTATGCGCTAATAAATTTGTTAGTCTCTAAGGTGCCACAAGTACTCCTGTTCTTTTTGCGGATACAGACTAACACGGCTGCTACTCTGAATACCTGAGTTACTTTGATGTGATCTCAAAGAAAATACATTTTAATTTTTTTAAATTGAGCACAATTCTTAAAGTATAAAGCATTTTAACCAGGCCAAGACATGTTATAGAATACTTTAAAGTCTGTAGTAAGTTCTAACATACTTTCAAATAATTTTATACTGGATGTATAGATTGAAAAAAATCTATAAAGCCATACAACTGAAATTGTAAACTATTGTTCTCAGATTCAGTAGTTACAGTTTATTTTTCTAAAGACTTGAAAAAGTCTTATTCCAGAGATTTTCCACCTCACCATATGACTTACGATGCTACTACCTCAGAGTTCATAATTTTACCTTTTCTTGTCAAATTTTTCCATACACTCAAGAGGCTGAATGAACTGAAGAACCTCATCCCACTGTCCATCAAGGATCAACTGTCTATACAAAAAGAAAGCCACTCATTTAATTTAGCTGGACATTTTTTACTTAACATTTTTACAAATGTAATTTACATACAGCTTGATGTACAGCTGACCAGCGAGCTTTGTAAAGTTAATGCTTTGCAAAGCAGATAAGATCAGATTTAAACAGAGATAAACGTATAACCTAAATCTTTTCTCAATACTGTCTTTGTAGCTATATACTCTAACACCAAGAGGACAAATGGTAGATATGTATGTATTTGTAAAGAGGTACAAGAGTATCTCTTCAGGTATCTGCTGATTTTTATGTTTTTAGGGATTTCTTCCAAGATGCTTCATTCTTTCTCCACAAGTGAGATTTTAAAAAGTCACAATACAAAACATGACTGAAGACATCCTGAAAAATACTGGAAATAAGCCTAAGGGCAGGTCTTCACTACAGGGGGGGGGTCGATTTAAGATACGCAAATTCAGCTACGCGAATAGCGTAGCTGAATTCGACGTATCGGAGCCGACTTACCCCGCTGTGAGGATGGCGGCAAAATCGACCTCCGCGGCTCCCAGTCGACGGCGCTTACTCCCACCTCCGCTGGTGGAGTAAGAGCGTCGATTCGGGGATCGATTGTCGCGTCCCGACGAGACGCGATAATTCAATCCCCGAGAGATCGATTTCTACCCGCCGATTCAGGCGGGTAGTGTAGACCTAGCCTAAGAGTATTGTGTGTAAACAGAGCAGTTGTGCAGCAGGGCTCCGCATCTGTTTACATTATTTATAGTATAGCACAACCAACTGTTCTATTGGCCCTGTACAAACACAAAGTGGACACAATCCCTATGCTAGGGAGCAATGTGTAAGGAGAGCATTTGTGGGAGAGCTTAGGTGGATCCAGGGGCTCAAAACTCCCAGGCAAGCAGAAGAGCCACTTCCAATGAACTGGAATAGCAGGCAGGGCTGCATTTCAGCCTCATCCCCCGTTGGGTGGGTAAACACCATTTCTTCATGCCCTCAGTGTTTTCCTCAGAAAGCCTATTAACTTTGGTAGGGAGAGGAAAACTTCACCTTAGATGATTACTCCTGCTATCACTAAGAATACAGCCAAATTAAGGATGAAGAACCTCAACCCAGAATTTATCAATTTACGTACCATTTTTCATTATGCTTACTCAGTTTTAGCAGTATGTGCCAAAAACCCACAAGAGCATCGTAATTGGGGGTGGGCAAGAAATGTTGTTAAGGAGATTTTAAAGATCACGTTTAATGTTATTTAAACATAGATGTATAAATACTTTCCTATGCTTCCGGTAAGCTGTAAAATCCCTTAGCATGTATATTATAAACCTCATTTGTGCTTAATGGTTTCATCATGCAAATACCTATTTAATAAATGTGAGATATTAAAAGTCTATTTATTGTGCCTCTACAGTAGTCACTTTTCCAACTGGAGGATAATACTATGGGAATGGTGACAGCCTTAAAAGTAGTGCTAGAAGTATAACTACAATACTGGTGAGGGCTGGTCTACACTAGGAAGTTTTACCAGAAAAACTTGCCTTTTTGTCAGCACAGCAAAAATCCCAACCTAATCATCACAAATGTTAGGTCCATATTAAAACTGGTAGTCAGCCCTATGTTAAGTTTTAGCCTGAGGGAAACTGCTCAAGAACAAGGCTGGAATATCTGTTCAGCTACAAATGAACAAAAGAGCCTTGTTGGTCCAAGTCCAAGCTACCAACATCCCCAACCTCACCCTCTCCCTTCCCCCTCACCAACCAAAACAAGCAAAAACTCCTCCCTGTATGAACTTATTCCTACATTTGTTGTAAGGTTTAGTAACCTATCTTCATACTTGTAGTCACCCAGGTCCTTTCAGTAAACATTTTGCTGTACAACATATGCCATGAACCCTGTTTTGATAAGTAAAGTCCACTTCCACAGTTTGATGTTAGAGAAAATCTGAGCATCTTTTTGAAAGGCAGATTACATCTTCTGGAAAACATTTGATTTAGAGAGCATGTCAATCACACAGTTAGAAGGGACCTCAAAGGTCATCTGGTCTAACTCCCTGCTATGATGCAGGATTTGTTGTGTCTAAACCATCCAAGATAGATGGCTCATCAGACATAGTTACCAGAATATTTTATCAAAATATTTTGTTGACATTTTTCATGAGTGTCTCAGGATGTTTTAAAAGCCCCTGGACATCCTAAGTGCTTAAATGCTACACATAGGACAATTTACAATGGAGAAGCAATACTTGAGGAGAGAAAATGGTTATGCCAAAAATGACTCAATGCTTTTCATGGCAGTCAGCAGTCAATTAGTTTGGCTAGTGAACACATGGCCAGCAGATATTAAGTTAGTTTCTATTGTACTAATTTATATAATAATTTCTACCTCAGAAAAAGCATGTCATCTGAGAACAGGCCATTAATGACTCCACTTTCTTTCTCAAGAGCCAGCATACTGATATGAAGTTTCTTCGAGTTCAGGAAATCTAAGATTAGTTTAATTATTTCAACTTCTTTTACATTCACTGTTTCTTCAGCAGTCATGATGGTAGCCTAGAGAGGAAAAAAAACAAAGTAATATGGTCGATATTTTGTCTTATGCCTTGTCATCAAATGCTGTTGACTAGAAATTGCAAATAAATGTTTGTTTTGACAGTACTGAATATTGTAGTATTCCAAAATTGGTTAGTGGGATTTAGGAAATCAATCTCATGCATTTGAGCATGCAGCCATAACTCTGACTTGATCCTGAAACTGTGACTACCCAGTTGTACCCTGAGTTCATGAAATGGCCCACTGAAATGAACTGATCAAGACGTTTTCAACTATATTTTTACCCTGGAATAACATTTCCATTTGCAAGACTGCAGTCCCTTTCTCTCAGAAAAGGAAATGCAAGATAACAGAATAGTATTTGAGTATTTAAGGTACGCAGAGATACTTGTAAGATTTTATAATTATACAAAACATACATGAAGAACAGTTTTATGATATATAAAAAGCATTATCTTGATTTTTTTTGCCATTCTGAAACAGTACATGGTAAGTAAGCCAGGACTTCCCATCCTTACTTTGTAAGGAGGCCTATTTCCATTGCAATGTTTTATGGGGAATCTAAATGTCAACATATTTTATTGGGTTTTCCTCCAATGTCAAGACCCCTCCACAGAAGCATGGGCAAGCAATGGCATACATCTCTATTTGGAAATCTGTGATAACTTTCTAGTTCACTGGCTAATTCCTGCAAGACGTTAAATGCCTCAGCTCTCTTTGATATCAGTTAGGGGTGAGGCTGCTCAACATCTTGGAAACTACTCTAGAACGCTGGCTCCCACACGATGTCCCACTGGGCACTTGCTGGTGGTCTGTAGAAAGCTTGCAGATCACACAGTACCATCTTTTCAGGAGCTCTTCATTGCAAAGAGGAGCCTGGAGCAAGCTGTAAGGGTATATCTACATTGCAGTGGCAATGAGCCTTCCAGCCTGTGGGGCTCGAGCTAGAGCGCTAAAAATAGCAATGTCCACATTGCACCTCAGGCATACAAGCCCACATGACCCCCTGGATCTCTGTCAAGTCTCTGCAAAAGCCTCAAAATCCAGACTACTATTTTCAGTGTGCCAGCTTAAGTCCCATTAGCACAAGTCTATCTAATCAGGCTTGGAGGCTCACTCCCAAGTGCAGTATAGACCAGGGGTTCTCAAACTGTGGGTTGTGACCCCATTTTAATGGGGTTGTCAAGGCTGGTGTTAGGCTTGCTGGGGCCCAGGGCAGAAGGCCAAGCCCCACTGCCCAGGGCTGAAGCTGAAACCTGAGCCCCACCACCCAGAGCTAAGATTACATGCCACCTGCTCAGGGCAGAAGCCCTTGGGCTTCAGCCTTGGGCTTCAGCTTTGGCCCCTCTGGGCGGGGCAGTGAAGCTCAGGCAGCGGGGCTTGGTCTTTGGTCCCCCCTCCTGGGGTTGTGTAGTAATTTTTGTTGTCAGAAGGGGGTCACAATGCAATGAAGTTTCAGAACCACTGGTATAGACATACCCTAAAAGCAGCTGGCAACAAGAGAGGAAAGTGAAGCTACTCTCAAGGACTGGAGCCATCAGTAGGAAAGAATGTCCAGGAAAACGGGACAAGAGAGCCAGGTGGCTAGTCTGCAGAGGACAAGGGGGTGATGAAGAGGAAGAGAAATATGAGTAAGGGAAGAGAAACAATCACAGAGCAAGATGAAAAGTGTTGTCTGAAGTAGGGTCTGAAAAGTCTGTACTTTTTTCTCATCATTTCAAGAATGACAAAAAAATTAATTAGACATATCTAAAATACACACTTTTCTAATATTACTTTTCTACATAAGTAAGTAATTGCAACAGGATGTTAAATGACTGCTAACGGGAAAGGATGTGGTTCCCAAGTCAAATTCAAGATGTGGTGCATACTCTAGAGCAGTGGTCTCCAAAGTGGGGTGCGCGCAAGAGGATCCTTGGGGGTGCACGGCAGGAGGAGCGCTTTTTTTTTTTCTTCGTCAGTTTGGGCGGGAGTCCGAGTGGCATTTTTTTTTTTTTTTTTTTTTTTTTTTGCAAAAATGGTAGAGCCGGTGCAGCAGTGGGTGTGTGCTCAAAATTTTTTTACTGATAGGGGTGCGCGATCAAAAAAGTTTGGAGACCACTGCTCTAGAGGTCCTCCATTTAGGAGCAGGTAATTACTAATCTACTTCCAATCTGGAAAGTACTGAAAATAGTAATCAAAAAGCAAAAGATAGAAATAAAAAGAAGTTTGCCATATCAAAGTTTAAATAATCAGTTTAGCTTGATTTTCCAAGTAAAATGTGTTATGAGGGATTAGTGAACAGATGAACTATTTACCAGGCACAGTCAAGAGGAAAAATGAAAGAATAAATACTTGAATCTGAAAGTTCTCATTGCTCACAGTAAACTTATGCTGCTGAATTCTAACAGATATGAGAACTCAGACTTTTTTTTTAAATATACCAGTTAAATCATAGCATTTTCCATATTCTTCCTTTAGCTGTTTGCCAATTTTCTTTGTTTTTTCCCCCCCAGAACACTTGACTGGAAAATTATTTAGTTAGAGCAGCCTCGTTTATTTTGGAGCAGTGTACATTTGGCTGTGCCAGCTAGAATAGCCTGCCTTCTGTTAATATGACCAGTTTTAATTTATGTTTTAGTCACAGAAGGCTCTAGTCATCATTAAATATTCTAGTGGCTCCAATGGCAGGCACAACCATTATTTGGGCCTATGCTCTCAGCTAGCAATTTTTTCTTCTATTTAAGAGTCAGCTGGCTCATAGAACATTTTATGTAAATAACTACTCCTGGGAGAATTCTGCATCACTGTACGTGCACAGAATTCATGTCCCCCACAGATTTCTTTGCTTCCCCGCAGAAAAATGACTTCTGATGGGGGAGCAAAGGAAAGCCACACAGGCACACTCCCCTCCCTGGCAGCACAGGCAGGTCGGTTTGGGAACCCGGAGAAGCCAACAGAGACATAAATAACCACCGCGGGTGTGTGAAGGGGTGGGCAGTCATGCGTGAGAGAGAGAGAGAGAGAGAGAGAGAGAGACAGACTCCGTCCCTCTCGCTCACTATTCCCGGCATGCTCGGCATGGAAGGGAAGGGCTTCAGGGTGTGTCTGAGGAGGTAGGAGTGGCATAGGCTGTCCCCTCAGGCAGAGCAAAACATAGCAGCCTGCCCGCTTAGTGAATTGTTCCCATTGTCTTTGTGAATTCCCCCAGAAGTATAAAACAGATGTTAAATTTTTAAGGCTCCTTTACATGGCAAAAGTGGTGTAAAGGACAGTATGGCCTTATAAATGCTTATGGTGCTTTAGTGATTAGAACTGGTATAAATTTTTGGACTGAAAAAATTTCTTGTCAAAATTTGCTCCATGAACTGTTTGTTATTGAGCTTTCTGGCAATGGTCAGTACCCAACATAAATTGTGAGTTTGGTTCCCCAGCCCTCACTGGCTCTTCAGTTGCCTATGACGTAACACTGAGCATATGGCTGCGTATATCTGTTGACTAATAACTACATTACTACCAGGCAAGGCGGTTTGGGGATTTCCTCCAATGCTCCCCACTCCCATTCTCTATCCATTGTATTGTAGTTTAAATAAATTACCTAAATAATTGAAACCACCATGATTATATTGTGTTATTTTGACAAATAAAATATGCAGAATCTTAAAATATTGTGTGCATAATTTTTATTTTTTTGGCACAGAATTTCCCCAGGAGTAGAATAATGAAAAGAAACAGAGTTACATAGTTTTGTGTTTGCTTCAAAAAGCTGTTGGATGGTGAGATGTCATTCCCTCCCTAATGCCAACAGATGCTCTTCTTTCATCATTTTTCTAATTCTCTTTCTACAACCGGGGAAGGGTTTTTTTGATCCTAGAAGATAATCCAGTCATATCTTTTAGAGGGAAGGAGGAAACTAACAACCGTATCAGAACATATACTGTAATATTGAAGTGTCAACACCTTAATCCCCAACCTCATCTTCTGAAGTAGGTCTCTAGACTTCAGATTTGCCTTTTAATATGTTTTATGATATTATGGTTTTTATTGAACTTCAAATAATTTCCTAGCAGACAGGTAAAACTAGTACTCCACCTTAAAACGAGTCTCTTCAGTAGGATATTACTAGTACAGTTCATGCAGAATAAGACCTCCAATTGAGCAATGGAACATTTAGTTTGGACTTTTGTTTGGATTGGATGGCACCACAGATCAAAGCTAAATAGGAGTACAGGCTCTACATGCCTTCCACGATTGCATTAAAGTTAAATATTTACACACCTTACTGATGCAGAAACCAATGTGATATACAATACCATTCTTGGAAGTACAATTACATTAAGTGAAAGATCTAACAGCTGTGACAGTAAAAGAAATTATCAGCACAAAAGACAACCACCACGTCTGTAAACCAGGAACAGTCCTGCTTCCGCAAAGTTATTCTAGGAGAATTCTACGGCACTGCAACATGTAAAAGCACCACTCATCTTCCGCACAGGTAACTTGGATCTTTGAATGCAGGTGTAAAGTTCTACAGCTATACAATTTTTTTAGATCAGGACTACAGAAGAGTATTCATCCTGTATAACAGTGGTTCAAACTTTTTTTACTGGTGACCCCTTTCACATAGCAAGCCTCTGAGTGCAATCCCCCTTATAAATTAAAAAAAACAAAAACTTTTTTATATCTTTAACACCATTATAAATGCTGAAGGCAAAGCGGGGTGGGGATGGAGGCTGACAGCTCACGACCCCCTCATGTTGTAACTTTTCAACCCCCTGAGGGGTCCCAACCCCCAGTTTGAGAACCCCTGCTGTATACCTTTAGAGATAAGAGAACTAACAATTTCAGTGGACCAACAACAGGTGGGCCCCATTTTGCAAACAAAATTGTCACTGACAACAAAAACAAAAAAGCCACCACATCATAATAAACTAAGCTACTGCATGAGAAATTTACATCTTATTACAATATGCAAAGAGAAAATCTGAGGTTTCATATAATCCTAGTCAGTACTTTAAAGT